TGAATATTGACGTTTAAAAATTTTATAACTTTAATTTTCATTATTTTTAATTATAACAAATTATTTTAAAATAATTCAAATTAAATTGCTCTCATAGTTCATAATAATTTATCTCAATTTGTTTCATTTCAGAATTTTGATGTTTAAAAATATTTATTCTTATTTTAATTATTTTATTTATATCAATTACTTTTATTATAATTTGAATTATTTCGAATTATTTTATACTCATTGTTCATAGTTAATTATCTCAATCTGTTTCGCATTATTTTGAATTATTTTACATAATATTGCATTATTTCTAGTGTAATATTGCATAATAATCTTATATAATATTTCGTAATTTTATATTTCGCAATATTGCGAAAGTTATTACGTAATATTATGGTGTTCTTACGCTTCGTAAATTATTGTGCAATATTACGCCCTATTAAATTTGCTGATGTAGTTTTAACATAAATTTATAGCAAAATATTAATTCAAATATATTGATATCTGAATTAAAGTATTTAGACAAAATCACATAAAAATTCGTGCATAAGATAATATATCATAAATCAGAGTAGATTGCAACCAAAATTCAGAATATCGACCAAATTCCAGAATGGAATGGATTGGAATTGCAGTAATCCACATGCTAAATAAATTGTCTAGATACTAATTTTTTGTTATAAAATAGTTAGTTATTGTTGTGACTGATGCTTAAATTTGAACCTATTAGTTCCAATCTATTAAGCATTTATCTGAATAACTATCAGATATTCAGATCTGAATTTATCCATTTACTATTGATATTGATAATTATCTGAATAATTGGGTTATCCGGATATCTGAGCGATCTGAATTATCTAGATAATAAGATGCTATGAATGAAGTCACGAGTAGGCCTCTGCATGGGCCGGATAATAGCAATATCCTACCCATTTGTGTAAGGGCTTAACTTTTAAGCCTTATCCTTACCCTAGGACCCAAAACTTAATACCCTAACCTGGCCTGTTAAACCACTAGTACCTATGAACCAGGGTTGGCATGAATGGAATTTGGACAATGGAAATCTGTCTGATGTCCAGTGTCCGAATTGTCCTATCAAAGCAATGGACATTGGACGGGATATAGATTGATCACATGAAATTGAATCACCTCATACAGTATTAACGTTAGCATTAGGTAACAAAACTACCATATAGTACATTAAAATCCGTACATACAGCTGAACACTATAATATGGTTTTAAAATCAGACTGTTATACCATACTGAATTGCTATAATTTCTAAGTTATATTAGTGTCAATATACTTGATTGGTCATTAGCATTTAGACGCATCACCGGACATTGGAAAACCGTCCGAATTGTCCATGCAATATTATCGGACATTGTTCAATCCCAATTGTAACTGCGCCTTGTCAGACACTGGAAACCACATAGGACAATTTGGAAATGTCCGATGTCCGGTAAAAACACCGGATATATAATTTTCCCAACCCTGTTTAAAGATGCTTTCCACGACTTTTGCATTGTGATTTAAAATTTTATAATGCGATTCTGATTCTGTGTTATTAAAATTAAAAAAAGACGAATTAAATTCTGTTATATCTTCGATATTAAATTTTGTTTCAAAAGCCACAAATGTATCAGAATTCATCAAAGTAAGGTGAGTATAATATACTCCTCATCATC